GCAAAATATTTTCGGATTTTGAAAAAATTTTTTTGGATTTCAAAATATTTTTTTGGATTCGCAAAATATTTTCGGATTTTGAAAAAATTTTTTTGGATTTCTAAATATTTTTTTGGATTTGCAAAATATCTTTGGATTTGTCAAACTTTTCGACAGTGAGTTTAAAATAAATATTGCGATTTGAAATATTTTTCGGGATTTGAAAAATATTTTTGGATTGTCCCTTTTCGGCTTCCGAACAATGAGATTGCAGGCTGTGAAACAGAGATCGAGGAGAATGCTCAAACATGGTAGTCATTTACTGACGTGGGAGATTTTATCGGGCTTATAGTGTGTGCTCCAAACTCTGCATCAAAAGGTAAGAGTTTGATCCCCGGGCCGAGTTGTTCGAGGCACCAATAGGTCTAATCCTGGTTTAATTGCCATGATAACGCAAAGGTTTTGTATGTACCAACCCAGGATTGACTTTTATGGGATTTCGAACAACTCGGCCTTGGCCTTTTCGAACGATTTACCCTTACAGTGCCTCTCTTCACGTCGACGTCTGAGTAGGAATGGGTATTAGAAAAACTGGGAGACAGAAAAACTTGTTGAATCGCAATCGAATTGCTTGATACTAATCAAACTGGGCTGAACTCCAGCAAATATCAGCGATTACAAATTCGCTTTTTATTAAGATTCATTGATTGATTTGATCCTTTCTTTTGATTTATATACGTTCTCAGGCTACTTAATGGAAAATGTGTAATAACGGTATTTCAAGTGATCCATGTAAAGATCAATGTGATTGGATGTATGGTCCTGTTACGAGATATTTTTTTGTTTTGTAGCTGTGATATAGGATTTGAATTGGAGGGCGTTTCGTTTTGATGCTAAGTTGATGAAAATTGGTGCGGCTTTTGCAGATATGGAGTTTTTATATAGTTCATCTTTGTTATTGCGATGAAGCCTATAGAATTCAATTTCCTCGTTGGAGATTTTCTTACTCTGGACGTGGCATAGGATTTTTTTTGGTAAGTAACAAATAGTAATGACAAACTCGTGACTCAGTTGTAAATCTTTAACATGAGAAGGAGTAATTTACTATTGAGTGAGTGTGGTAAAACCAAGACCAAAGTATTTCAAAAAATACACAGAGAACTAGTACAAATTCAAAGTGAAAACAGCAAATTAAAGAAGAGCATTAAAACGCAAGAGACCTAATTGTGACTGAGAATGCTGCTTGTAAACCCAATTGGTCGTGGAGAAAGGCGCTAATTTTTTTAGAAAAAAATAGTGCACAGCAAACAAAAAAATCTCTACAATCCCGAATTACTTTCGCTTCTCAATTGAAAATTGCTCTATAGCATAATTTTTTTCTCGATTTACAACTTGAAACGTAATCTGAGAGAGCAAGCTTCTACATCACTGGGCAATTTTTTCCTTCCTTGTACGGGTTTCCACCCGCGGGAATCCCTTGAAGGAGACAATCGTCCTGCGCATTTTCTAAGCAGTACTTCATAATCTCCTCCGCTGACCTGGAAACTTTCATCCTTTGCATCTTCGCTTGCCTGCGAAGGAGGTCTACAGTTTCTTTGAGAGCTGATTTCTTAGCAGGCAACGTGCAGTAGTTTTGTTTTGAAGGAGAAGACATTGTCTTGATCCAAAGTTCTTTTAAAGTTCTCTCTACAATGGGAGAAATAATGAGATAAGAGTTTATTTTTTTAACTTTTTCACTTGCATTCTACTCACGATATGGGCAGTTGCTTTTTTTTTATAGCCTCATCTAGGTTCTCACCGGCTCCTTGTTGTATTCTCCGACTTAAAAGAGATGAATGCATAAATAATTTTCAATAAACTTCGTCAAAAGATTTTTTTAGAGATTTTGCTTGATCTAAGTTTTGTCTAGAGCGCTTTTCAAAACACTAAAACGCAAAAAATGAACTCGGTCAGTTTCCGGCCATCTTGACCTCATGCTTGGTCAATAACGCATGTAAAGCATTCGCTTGGAAACTGAATTGACCAATCAGACGAGGCGTACTTGTTCATCATTTTATAAACTCAATTAAAAGGTTCTCTATGAATCAACTGAGCGCATTTACGTGTTAGCTAAGAATCTATGAATTAACCCTTGTTTATTATCCTTCGATAAAGTATCACGCCACAGTAAGCTTTAAGCAAAGAAAGCAAACTTGAGAAGGTGTGCTTGACAGAAAGGATTTGCTCGCCCAGACCACTTCCTTGCTTAGTCAATTCTTGGAAGCTACAAACTCAGCTTAGCATTTCAAATGGCTACAAGACAGATGGAACTGCATCGTTCCACAGAGTTTAATGTCACTTTAAATGTAATAAACAGCTAAACCTAATCTTCATTTTCACGTGCAATAGCTTCTGAGCTAGACATAACAAATCACTGCGTCAGCTTCGTCACTTCGGTTCTGTGACTATATTGTCACAGAATCTCAATTGTCACGTATGTTATCCTAAAATTTCTTCTTCACCTGTATAAAACGTGTGGCAAGCCTGTGCTTAGTCCAGATTATGATACTCTTCGAGAGGACCAAATTAAAAAACATTTGTAAAAGTGCACTAATTGTTAACATGACAATATCTAACACATTTGGCGCGAATGCACGTACTTTTAACTTATTTACACGTATGTGAAAATTTAAAAAAAGTACATAAATACGACGGTTCTTTATACCTCAGATACTGTGTCCTGCGGAAGTTCGTCGTCAGTTATGTCGAAATGAAATGCCGTCTATTGCTACTACGAGTTCCGCTCTAGATGGCGTTCTTAGTATACAAAATAAAATTAAGGGCGTTTGAAAATTGTAATTTACATAACAGAAATGGAATATGTAAAGCAAAAACTGTCAAGGAAGTCGAATCGAGGCATGGAAAAATTAGTGGTTTCGTGTACATTTTAAAAACCTTTTTATCAAAGTCCGTAAAAATACTGATAACATCCTAGTCATATGAAAAATGCTCAGAACTGATTTTTCGGGTGAGAAGGTCAATACATCGCGAAAAGAGTGTTATTAGGGGTTAAGCAGAATTTATCGCAGTGTTCCGCGCTGTACACATCGGTCAAGCTTTCAGGTAGTGACACGTTTTCATCAAATATTTAATGCGAGAAAAGAAATAGTTGTACCATAAAAAAAAATTCTTAATTGTGATATCTCTTTTACTGATTGAGGATCATTTCCGATACAAGGAAATCATTTACAGGAGATCATTTACCCTCCAAGGAAATCTATTTCTAGATTCTATTTTCCATAAGATGGCGGCAATTGTGGATAGGCCACGTTAAAACTGCATATCATGATTGATAAACACTGCAATGTTTTTCAGGCAAGTTTACACTTGGTCTTTCCAAATTGCGAGCGATGAATGGCCGAAAGGCCTCAACATACCAAGATTCTATCGCAACTTACAGTGTTTTTGCCTGGCGGAAAAAATACTGGGCTTTGCAACGAACCTCTTCCTAAGTTCAACTTCCTAAACAAGCTCGCGTGGCGACCACCATCACTCAACTTTAAAACAGCTTGTATTTGTGC